CAGGAATGTGCAGTGTGTAAAGGACAGCTTCTGACCCAAAAGGCACCTTCAGCCCCAAGTCCTTTCTGCCATTCCCACAGCAGACAGATGTACCACATCTCCATGCTTCCTGCAGCAGACAATCCTGGAAACCTTCCCCTTGGAGAACTGCTGGGAAACAACACGTACTCTGAGAGACCATCTGAGCATCACTTCTTCCTTTCCAATCCAAGGTTCAACTTGCATTTAACTTAGAGTGAATTCATTACTTTTACAGTCCACACAGCCCTGCTCTGAAGCACACACAGCTTTGGACTTCTCCAGTGTAGTTATTAATTACTTTTCTCTTAAAACAATGAATTCCTTAACCTCTGCTGTACCAGATTTTATATTGCACTACAACTTAAGGTAATGGAAAGAAGAATCATCGATCTATGAAAGCAGCTACAAAACAAAACCATTTAAAAAACTCCTCATAAAGGATCATCAGTGCCTTGCTGGTGAGCAGAACACATCAAAAACCCTTCGTCCTTCCTATCACAATCAGATGCCTGAACAAATCTTCCCAAATAATGGAAAGAAATGAAAAAATAAGTATGTTATGTTGCCTCCACTTCTGGACCCCATGTAGGAGACCTGATGTCACGACTGATCAGAGAATTGCTCAAGGCAGAAACAGGAAAGAGGTCACTTTCTGTGAGCAGCACAACCAGCGCCACCAACTTCCCACCGTCTCCTAATTCACCAAACTCCACCAGCAGGAACTCAGCCCTTTGTTCAACCAATGTCCCAAGAGCTTCTACATCTTCCCAGCCTTTTTGTTTCCAGAGACTGGAACACGCAGGATGTTTGGGGTCTCCTCCATGACTCTGACAAGCAGGTTGTCAATGTAGTCCTCAAGCTCGCGCACCTGGAGGTCCCTCTTGGTGATCGTGTCCTTCTGTTTCAAGACCAGCTGGATCAGCTCATCGTGTGTTAGTTGAGCATAAGCATAGCCAGGATCTGAGGGATTGTATTTCTTTGAGAGAGGAGAAATTCAGGGTCACTACAGACACAGGCACTTAGAACAGACACAGCAATGCAGCTGGTGGGTGGGATTTAGAGCCCTAACGAACAACGTCCCCCACCCAGCGGCTGCACAACCACAGCTGCTCTCCAAAAACATCCTATCTTTTAAAAATACAGCATTTTGGAACATCAGTCATAGCACTTCAGGCTCAAGAAGAGCAGGCTGCTGTGAAAAAACAGCACAGATGCTCCAAAAAATCTGCTTTTCACCCTCCAGCAAACTGGACAGGAACCAGGCAGCTCCTGCCAGCTCCTCCAGCCCAGGCATTCCACAGCGTGGTGACATCCAGTGTCATTGCTCCTGGGGACTCACAGCACCACACCAGAACACTAATGACAAGTTTTCATCGAATTCAAAACAGCAACAAGTCAGTTTCAATCATCAAACTTGTGTTTTCTTCTTCTCCCCTTACACCAGAAGGAGGCACTAAAGCTTCTTCGGTGGGAACTCCATTTCCCCCCAGAATCCCCTCGGGACAAGAGGGGGACCCAAGTTTTCCCTGCTGACCCAGAGACACTTCCAGCCACCCTGATCAACGTGCTTTGAAGCCTCAAGCCTGGAGGTCTCTCTTGAGGGAAAAATTATGCAAAAAGCCCCTTTAAATCTGAGTGGCTGTGAAGCTGCACAGCTCGGCTGTGGGGAAGCAGCCAGGCTCTAAGGGCCAGGGCTGGGTGTCCCAACTGCACAGGACATTAATGTGACACCTCACAAGGCCACAGCCCCCTGAGGTGACATCTTCCCACCTTCTCTGCTTTATAAGCTTTATTTCAGGGTGACGAGGAGCTCTGGGGACTCATCACAACAAACAGTGATTAATGTGAGACATGAAACTACCTCCAATATGTGAACTCTGACCAAGTTGCTGCATAAGCTGTGGTCTGAAGTGCCACTTTCCTCCATACCTTCATGTTCATCTCCAGCAGCTTTTCATTCATGGTGCTGATGACATTCAGGGTTTTGCTCTGGGTCGTGTTTGCTGTGGCATTCATTGGCTTCACAGGATGGAGTCTGCAACACCAGGAGAGGGTTTTGCTATTTGGGCAGCACATACAACACCAGCACTACACAGACCTTCAGACTAAAAGCAAATACAGCAAGAAATTGAGGAAAATTCCTACCCTTCTCCATCTCCAGAGAGATTAGAGAGGCAGCTTTGGGAAGGAAGGTGTTCCTGTCTGAGCTACAGGCTTTTTGTAAGAACACTCCAGTTCTCTTTGGACTGAAGGCACTGGAGATAAAGCAGCACTGACAAGGGACATAACACCTCCCAAAAGAAAAGCCTGGTCAGTCTGCACCTGAAGGCAGCACACAGCAGCAGTTACTCTCATCTCTCCTGCACTTGTATTTGAGCCTGACTTTCCTACTAAAAACATATTTGTGGCTCTTGGAATGTATCAGATACTTCAGCTGTCCTGGGACAAGGAAGTATTTTGACTTTTCCAATCTGAACTTGCACCAGAAGCTGCCAAAAAGCACAATCCTCATTTGCTTGAGCAGGGCTCATATTGTCAAGTCTTCCCACAGGAAGGAAATTTTACTTGTATCTCAGCCCAGAAGTGTCCCAGACCCAAGCTGGAGCTCTGCACATGAAGTCCTGAGTGCTGGCAGGTCAGGGGCACTGGGGGCTGGAGGGGCTGCAGAGCTGTGGGAAGCAGCCAGTGGGAGAGCCTGCAGCTGCAGCACTGCCAGGCTCAGGAGCCCAGCTTGGCCAGGAAAGGAAGCATCCTGGTTTATCTGGCTTCCTGTGACCCTTCTCCCATTTCTGGAATATGGATGACCTGCAGTCCATTTCCCCAGGTGGATGAAATGACCCTATTGCTTCAATTCTGACCAAGTCTCCCTGACATTCCTCCTCAGAGGTCACACTGTGACAAGCAGCAGGTCCCCCCGTGTGCTCTGGGCACCTGAAATAGCTGCTCAGATCTATCTGGTGCCAGCAATGATCCCAGCTGGCATGACAGGACCCAGGCCCAAACAAATCCAGGGAGCAGGGGAAGTTAAGGCTGTAGGATGCCAGGTCACTGCAAAGCACAGTCAGCTCCTGCAGCTGGAGGGACAGGTCTGTGCTCACAGGGGGAAAAAGCAGAACAGCAAAGCTCCCGTCAGCTCTGAGGCACTTGCTGTGCCCGTCCCACGTTCTCTCACCTGTGCTTAGGAGCCAGGGTTTCACCACCCTGCTGAGTTTGGTTAGGGTATGTCTCAGAGGGTGAAACCCATGCCTGAAGAAGCTTCTTCTTGCCCGAATTTGGTGCTTTATCTGCGGAGCCCTCGGCTGTTGGCTTTTTCGGAGACTCTGCCCTACGACTTGGGGTGTCAGAGGGGGGAGAAGGAGAGGAGGAGCAGGGCTGGGGAGGGCTTGACAGGGAGGAAGAGGAGAGAGAAGGCTCAGAGAAGTCACACTCTGCACGCTCCTCAACGCCTGCACTTATTTTCAGTTCTTCTTTCTCAAGCTGACTATTACACCCCCTGGAAGGAGGCGTCACAGCAGAGCCTGAGTCAACCACCTGGCTGGTGACCCTGGGGGTGTCATCTCTGGCAGGCAGCACGGGAGCTCTGCTGGGCTGAGCAGCACCAGCACCTTCTCCTCCCGGAGCAGCCAGGGTCCCTTGGGCTGCAGCAGAGCCACCCAAGTGCTCCTGCAGCTCTTCCTGCAAAGGCTTTACATCTGGGGACTGCTTTCCACTCTCTGAAATGGTTCTGTCACCTGCGGTGACACCCGAGCTCTCAGTGACACCCGAGCTGTCCTGAGTGTCACCCAGCAGCTCGTCATCCGAGCCTCCCTCCGGAATAACGGGAAGACTGGCCAGTTTGGAACTACGGTCTCCAGGAATGGGAAGGGCAGACTTCAGATCCAAGAGGCAGTCAAATGAGTTGTCATCACCTTCATTTTTTAGATGCCTATCTCTGCTGTCACCCCTGAGTGCCACTGGTGGAGTGACAGTCTCCACTGAGCCACCCGGGGGGACGCACCCGCCAGGATCTGAGGCTTTAGGCAGCCCAGGAGCAGATTTGACACCATCACCTGAGGAAGGGACATCACCACTGAGCTCACCAGCCTGAGGAACCACTGGACACTTTTTGGGTGTCAAAGATCTCCTTGGTGCTGGCTTTGGAGTGACCAGCCCCTCACTGTCAGCACCCCCCGTGTCAGCATCCCCAGGGGACTGTGGCCAAGCTCCTGACATTGGTTTGGCAGATCCTCCTTGAGGACCTTCACATTCCTGCCTACCAAAACCCTCATCATCTGATGTAGGACTCTCTGATCCATGAAGGAGAAGGGACACGTTGCTTAGCTGACTTCTTCTCAAGGAAGTCTCAGCCTGAAGCTGAGGAGAATCACTCTGCTGCTTTGGGGCCAGACCAGGGCTGTCAGAAGGGGTACTGGGGAGACCTGGTGCAGCTGTGACATTACCAGTTAAACCTGCACCCGAGGAGCTCCCTAAAGCACTGGGACCAGAGCCTTTCAGCTCAGCAGCATGCTCTGCTGAGGAACAGTCTCCATCACTAGGCAGGCAGCAAGGGGAAGAACTATCAGCAGCTTTGAAAGCTGGTGTGTCTGGTTCCCACCCCAGCTTAGATACAAAGGGATTATTGACATGGAAACGACAGTGGGAGGGGAGAGAAGGTGCAGGTGAATGAGAAGGATCCCAGGAGCTCCCAGCACCCTGGCCCCAGTCAGAGGCAAAAGGATTATTAGCACCAGCAGAGACCTGCCCAGGAAGTGGCACTTGGGGAGCTGCAAGATGATGGGATGCAGGGTCTGGAGCTGTGGGTGCCCTGCCCCAGGTGGGGGTGAAGGGGTTCTTGCCACTCAAGTGCTCTGCAGCAGGAGGAGAAGAAGTAGCAGATGCAGGAGAACTAGTCATGTTTTCTGAGTCTGGCACTCGGGCTTCTGTTTCCAGTTTAGAAACAAAAGGATTATTGTCCCTGCTGCTATGGTGCACAGAAAGAAAAGCAGGGGAGGAATCAGGTGCAAGAGTAGGAAGCGTGGCTTTGGGTTCCTCCTCTGAAGACACGCCCAGTCTGCAAAAAGGGACAAAAAACTCGCATGTGACTTGCGGATGCAACATGAGGCAGGAACAGACAAGCTCCAGCACCAGACTCCACCAACTCCCAACTCTGGAGAGGAATTACACTTCCAAAGACCTCAGAGCCTATCCATGGGCTTGACACACTTAAACGTGTCCCTACAGAGCCCTTCATTTATGTCAGAAGGCCCCTGCGGCAGAGGTTGCACAGGTACTGCTGAGGATGCTCTGAAGCACCATCTTTTGCATCCCAAGCAATTTTATTAGTGCATGAGACAGTGAAACATGAGAAGCACTGAAAATGAGGAGTTAGATGCAGACACAAACCGTAGCCTTATTAGCAGGACACACACACACAAACACAGGCACCTGGAGGATGAAGGAGCAGAATTTTCGAAAAAGCCTCACGTGCAAATTCACACAAATGTCCCTCATGTTGCTGTGACCAAATGCCAAAAGCAGAAGGGCTCCAGGATTAACACTTTTGAAGACCACAGCCAAATGCATAAGAGGAAAGTTGAGATGTTAGACCTGGTGTTTCAGCCCCTGGGTAGGCTCAAGTGGCACAGCTCAGACAGAAGTTAGTTTCTGCAAGAGACCCAGCAAGAAAAATGGCCCCTACAGCACCTGCAGACATGTTTGCACCCTCAGAACTGCTATTTTGGCATCACTTCCAAGGAACACCCCTCTGCTGATCTCTTTTTTCATACTGAGAGAGAACCTGGAGTTACTGTTTGTTACCAAAGGGCAGGTTAAACCCTCCAGAGGCCCTGCAGAGGGGGTGGGAAGGGCTCTGGAGCAGGAGGCAGGGCTGATCCTGCCATGCTCTGGAGCCAACAGGACTGACCTGGGTTTCACTGCTCTGGTCTTGGCTGGTGCAGCAGCTTTCTCAGGTTTCCGTTCCTCCTCGAAAGGGTTCAGTGGCTGCTTATTTGCCAAGGCCTCTTCTGCAGGGTGACTGTCTCCTGAGGGATTCCCTCTGCTTACATCTGCTGGAAGCTCAAGACCTTTGGCCTCTTGTTCACGCTTCTCTTCTGGATCTTTGTTCTCCTCATCCTGCAGGTTCCTGTTGGGAATATTCTCAGCAGTGCTGGTCTTCCCTGCTTCCTTCTTCCCTGTGACCAGGGACAGCAAGGCAGGCTTTTTGTGGTCTGGTTTCTTGGTCTCCTTCACAGCCTCAACACTTGGAGGAGGGCTGGTTTCCAGGTGTTCTTCACTGCTAAGCAGTTTGTATGATGGCAAAGTCATAGCTTTGAAGGTCTCCAAGGATGAAGACCCAGACAAAGCCTGACTAGGAGATGTTCTTCCTGTCTCTTCAGGTCCTTTAGTAGATCTGGAAGACAGGTTCTCTTCTGAAGCAAAGAGATGCTTCCTCCGGAAGTTGTGAGGAGAAGGGGAAGAGGCTGGAGTGCTGTCCTTTGTCATGCTCTCCTCCATATAGACATGAGTGCCATTGATGCACAGACTGGACTTGGAAACGGGGTCACTTTTGGATTTAAGGCCACTGAATAAAGAGAGCCCCTCTTTCTTGGTGTGGCTTGTAGCTGCTTGGTTTAGCTGCCTGCTGTCCAAGGTTGCTGTTTTACGAGACTTAAATAAAGGAGAAGGAGAGGACTTCTCTTCCAGGGCATTTCCAAAGGCTTCTGGAAAAAATAAACAGGGAAAAATGCAAATTGCAAGAACACTCTTTTTCTCTGGCACTCACAACTGATGGGCTCAGTGCTCCATGGTCATAGATGGATCACAGCAACAGAAAAACAGCACGTGTGACTGCACCAGCCACTTCCAAACCTCCCGGGTCCCCTGCCACTGCCACCAGCCTCTGCAGACTGGATCACACACACCATTCAGTGCCCTGAAGCCACCCCAGATCACTGGTGGTGAGGATCACCACTGGTAGAGCCCCTTACTTTGTGCTGAAGTCCTGCGTGCAGACCTGCCACCATGGACAGAAGTGACTGTCTGTGGTTTGCTCAGTAAGAAGAATTTAACCAGTACTCTAAAAAGTGGGAAAAGTGCCAAAAAAACTCTGGAGAAAGGCTTTGTACTTGGACAGGGAGGTGGGTGCCAATACTCACTGTCTGAGGCTGGAGAGGTCTCGGACTCCTCCTCATCCCATTGCGACTGGAAGTCGCTGGGCCGGAGCCGAACCCTCTGGGTGAGGGGCTGCTGGGTGGGCAGGACTGACATGGACTGGGAGAGGGAGGTCTTCTGCAGGCCAGGTTTGGAAAAGAGTGTTTTGAACTTGGATTTCTTCTTCTCCTTCTCCTTCTCCACCGACTCATCTTCGCTGTCGGCAGGGGAGTGCGTGGTGCTGGGAATGACGGCCGAGGCCGTGTCGGAGAGGCCACTGCTCCTCTTCCCCTTCAGCTTGTCCTTCAGCTTCCCGAAGGGGGAGCGGGGTTTGTCCTTCATGGACAGGTCAAACATGCTGGCTGTCATGTTGCTCCTCATGAACTGGATATCCACCTCGATCTCCCCTCTCTCCTTTTCTTTCTTCCCTGGCTTGGAGCGAAGCTTGTACCACCTGCAGGAACAGGGGGGTTTCTTTTACAAACAAGTTCTCAGGAGGCCCCGGTGATGCAGAACAACAAAGAGCATTTATGTTTTAAAAACCAATTAAGCCTACAGTGTAGGGGGGAGGGGAAAAAGAAAAAGAAAAGCCTTTAATCTTACAACTATGTCATAATCACAGGGCCCCAGGTGCCCAGGAACACACTTCTGGTTGTTAACAGAAAGTTCTTAGTAACATTTGTTTTAAAATCCGTACCAGGAAGGGTTAAAAAACAAGGAACACGGCACGGAATTCCTGTATGCCAGCTCAGCTGCTCTGTTCTGTGCTTTTATCTGGCTTCCAGGAGGCCAAGACTTCAAAGGGGGTGTGAAAGCAGCAGCCTCAGAGCCGAAACTGGTCCCAGAGGGCTTGTGCACAGTCCCACACCCTCATACCTTTCATTCCAGCTCCTTTCCAGTCCCTATCTTAATGCCTCTTCAGCTAAGGAACCCTCATCAAAACAAGAGAGCCAAACCAAGCCTGACAGACATCTGGGGATTTCCACTCACCCCCAGGAACTCGTGACTGGAGCGCACCAGGAAGGATGGTTGTGACAGGTAGAACATTATCCCTCTCTGAAATGCAGCTCCAGAACATCCAGTGTGAAGGGCTCGGGGCTCCCTGAGCTGCAGAACCACCCGCTCAGTTACCACATTGGGGTCAGCAAAGAACATGCCCAGCACTGCACACCAGGGCCTTCTGTCTACTGCTGGAGCCACAGGCTTTCCCACTGCACAGAACTGATAGGAACGGCCGCCTGGAAAACGCTGGCTCCTGGAAAATGCTGGCTTCCTCCTCCCCACCAGCTGGCACAGGAAGATAAAGGGAATGAGCAGAGTATGCTTAATCTGCCCCTCCAGCAAATTTGAACCTCATTCCTTTGAGGGTGCACTGGAGACAATGGGAGAGAAGAGGAAAAGGCAATTTGCTTCAGAGAAAATTCAAAACTAATGAGTGTTAAGGCAGAGATGAATTCAGAAACCTGAAAGAGAGAAACACTTCAGAGGGAAATGAAGGCTGCAGCACCACACTGCAGCTGGGTGTTCAGACCTCAGGATACAAAACACCAGGACCAGGGAAAAGATTTTATAAGATGTTTGGTTGGGTCAGGTCCTTGGAGCCACAAACCCACAGCAGCAAGGGACACAGAAACCCTCTGCCTTTAGTGCAGCACTGGGCACTTTTGTTCTAACCCGCGTGATTTCCAGGAGCATCCTGTGCTTGTTCAGTGCCACAACAATTCCCTCTGCCTGCTCTCTGCCACGGGGAAAGAGCAGGCATCCCAAACACAAGCTGCATCCAAAACACAAGCTACGTGTTCAGTGACAGGCAGCTTGGCCCCAAAGCACAGCCATCCTTTGAGCAGCAGGCTGCTACACCCACCTCAGAAAGGCTGAAGGTATGTAATGACAACATCCCCCCTCAAACTACAAAATATAAAATCTTATTCATTTCATGTATTAGTGTGCACCTGCCAACCAACATGCATTTACTGTCCAAATAAAACCAGGGCTTTCTGGCTGTCTTGTCACCCTGGCAGCAAAGTGATGAGAAAAGAAATGGGATTCAAAAGGACGAGTTTTCCCAGGAATTTTTTTGTCCTCCCCCTCTTTTGTTGTGGCCCAGATGCAAAGGAGCCAGCCCGGGAGGCTGGCAGGGCTGACTCCCTGACCTGTGTGTAAACACATCCACGCTCAGCACAACCCTCATCACAGCCACCTGGTAATTAGGGCTCGACACCTTTGAGACCCAGACAGTGCTCATACCTGGATCTGCTCGGGTGAGGAGAGGAAGGTGACTCACCAGCCACCTCAACCCACATCACAAGGCTGCTGACTCCCAGTAAAACCCTCCCAGTAACGCCCTGGGATTTCAGCCCGTCCCGGTGTTTATGTTCAAAGGAGCAGGGATGACACAGAGCATCCAAGAAGAGCCTCCTGGCCCTGTGTCCTGCTGACGGCAGTGAAGTGCAACACTAAATTACCCGCTCTTACACGCGCTTAGACTCTGCTAAGTGTTTATTAAGGAAAGAGCATCAACAGCTGCCTGTGTTCAGCCTCTGTCCGAGGAGTTATCAACACCTTACGTCTCTCAGCTCTGGCTTTCCCAGGGCCCTGTCAGTGCTGGTGTGTAAACATTCACAGAAATCACACCCAAGCACGAGGCAGGACTGGCCAGCAAAAAAAACCCAACCCAGAACTCTTGGCCTTCTCTCAGGGGTCAGAGCTGTGGGGTCACCCCATGGCCCCCACTCTCATGGGGCTTGAGGGGTCCCCGTGGGGCACAGGGTCCCCCCCAGAACCCCAGCCCCTGGGGGGCAAAGGGTCCCCCCCAGATTCCCCCTCATCCCCCTTCCCAGCCCTTGTGGGGTACAGGGTCCCTCCCAGATGCCCCTTGCCCCCCTCCCCAGCCCCGGGGGGCACAGGGTC